TAAATTTACACTTAATCAATCATCTTCTAATAATTAATAATTAATTAATAATTAATTAATCAACAAATCTATCTACCCCATCAACACATCAATCAATCAATAGGTACATGAATTAATAAATTTTCACTTAATCAATCATCTTCTAGAACTTTCAATCAATAAACAAAGCACCTATAGTAACCAATCACCATATTCAGACAATCAATCAATCAGTTAGTTAAGTCAACAGCTCTAATCATTCAATCAATCATAATCAACAAATCATTCAATCACTCAATTCCTTTTTGAACCATGCAAATGAACAATCAACAAGCCAATCAGTCAAATCATCGTAGTTAGGCAGTCAGTCAACCCAGATAAGAAAACCAACAGACAYTATATTACAAATTGTACTATATTGCTTATTGTTAGTTTTCTTATCTGGGTCATCCAAATCAATTAACAGATCTTGAAAAATCTGCCAAGGTGATATTTTACCTCGAGATCCCTTGATGTTGGCTCAATATCACCTACTGCCTCCACAGCTTCACATCCTTTGATAATATCTAATTGTTCCATAGGTGTCATAGCTCTGCTTGGTGGACGACTAGGATAAATTAACAATGATATATACTGTACATTGCATTAGGTAAGCGAAAGGAAATTCTACCCCAAATGCATCACAAATTAAAGTAAAAATGAAATACTCAGCCTACACCGTCAAGAATATATTCTTGTCTTTCGCCAGCAATTAACAGCAGTCTAAGCACACAACTTTTGACACTTTGTAATTGATATGAATAATTAATATTAATTAAAATAAATGAAAGCTTGATRATTCTTACTGTATTTTAGCATGTCCATTTGAAGTTTCTCCTCTACTTTTTGGGTGAGATGGTTTCTTTCTTGGTGAAGTTGGTTCTTTGCCTATATAGTACAAGGTATTAAGAATATCTATGAACACTACTGGATAGGCCATGTTTCCTTCAGAGTTCAGAAACATATTTTGGATAGCCTCCTGGTCCAAAAAGGCAAAAGGTAAAATGATCACATGATTGTGTCTTTGCCTGACCTCATTCAAACACAATGGAAGATGAAGAGTTCACTCATGAAACAAGAGAATTGCTATGCTCTATACTTAACAATTAGACCTCGAGGTCGAGTGGACTACGAGCTAATAGCCCATGAGGCCGAGTCCGCGAGGCCAAATGGGCTATTAGCTCGTAGTCCACGAGGCCGAGAGGTCTAATTGTTTTAGTATAAACATACTAATCGGTCAAATAATGAAAACAAATTGAAATATCCTTAAAATAATTTATTAATGAGATGCCGCCATTTTGATTTTCCCACGAGTGGTCTATCACAAATTAGACCATTAGTAGAGTAGGCAATCACAGCACAGTATGAGTGATAGACCATTAGTATGTTTATACTAATGTCATATAGTTTCTTAGCTTGCCATTTCCCAACTGCTCTCTCTCACAGCTGCAACTTCAGATTTCGTCAAAATTTCTTACCAGAAAAACAGGCTGTTCTCKTCCTTTTGGAGGGACAAGAAGACTGACAAAAGGAAAGGTGGCATATAAATATTATCATTGTTGATATTAAACTTACCGGCAGTTGTTGTCTGTCTTGTTGGAGGTCTTGTAATCTTAGTCAAARTTCTCATTTTTAGGTTTGCTGCYWGYGGGCTGTAATTGTTTGCAATTGATTCACTTGGAGTCCTTGCAAAGGCAGTCTCCTTGAATGGTGAGGCCTTTGTCCACGATGGATCCTTCATAATAGGGGGGTGCTCACTGTGACGCAAAACGATCTAGAAAATAATAATTATTACATGCACATATGAATTTTGATTCAATGAAAGACARCTCATAGACTGCAGACAATAATTTYGTTGGGGGGAGCCAGGCCCCCATGTGGGGAGGGGAGAAGGGGGAGGGGCAAAGGCTAAAAATCCAAACTTTTACAATTTTCACAGTGACCCCCAATAATTTTTTTGCTTCCACCGTCCATGCAACTATCTTATTGCCCAATTTCTCAATTTCAGTTGGAAACAAGTCTCAGGGGAAATAAAAGAATTATCAACATGWATGTTTCTCTGAAGCCCGGCCATAAAAATATTGATAATTAAGGTCTATCAAAACTTGTCGATACGATATTATGTTGAGGATAGGTGCTCAGTTGGGATGGGCAACACACTGTCTACAGATAATCACACCAATCCATTGGAATGAACCATGATTTAACAACTTACACCTGTCAGGGGGAGGGTGGTAACGGAGGTGGTTCACAAGCAGAGCAGTGTTTTGGTACTTGACACTGCAAACTAATGTTCCTTAACCACACTAAGAGCTAAATATGTCGTATGATCTACGTTTAACAGACTATAGCTACAAGGGAAAATAATTTTCAAAAAACAAGGAGATATTACGAACCAAAAGGCAAAATGCTGGTTACCCAGCAATTTTTGATATGGTATTGAGTGATGCAACATTATTTGTTTGATGCATAGGTCTTACCAATATACTGTACAAAATACAGTTTGTATGTATCTCATGTATATAGACACCAAATGTAACAAAAATATAAATTAATATGACAATAACAACAGTGCAAATGTTTGGCGTAACGTTACTTTTTACAATCTTTACATGCTTATGTAATGCAAGGAGCAGAAAGTTCTTAAAAATTTCTTTCTATAATGGTTTATGAATATATAATAAACTTTAAGATATTAAGTTTTTATTTTCATAATGTGGACATTATTTTTGAACAAATCGTTATACTCATAAAATTGTACTTTCCTTGAACAAAGAGCGTTTTGAAAGACCCACTCCAAGAGAAACCAAAACATTGCAAAATATTACTTTTTTCACACTGTGAATATTCTTTTTGTATTATTTCAAAATTATSAATAACTTCCCATCAACATGCAAAACATAATATTTGTGAATTTTGGCAAAGATATTTTCTAAGTAAAAAGAAAGTGAACCTTGCTTCGCGTCTGTGATAAACATTTTTGTTTACCAAAAAAWAATTTTTAACGAATAATAAAATGCGCCAAATTTGAGTGCCTTTTTGACARTCTTATCAGGAAATCTTATCTCATTCAATGAAAATCAATTTAAGGTCTTTATTTTTAAACGATAATTGAAGTACTTCACATAAAATGTGAAAAAAAATTCCCTGCAATTTTTTTTCTTCACATAATTTACATGGCAACCAACAAAATGTTATAAGTTAAGTATTAGTCATTTTAATTTGTTTTGAGATATGAATTAGTACCTGCAATCTTATTTTCTCGTTAATCTGTTTCAAAACATCGCGTATTTCTTCATCTTGAGCCGTTTTGCACTCTCTTATCGTTTCCATATCAAAGAATAAAGTACTTTTACGTGTATAGGTACTACAATATGCACAACTAGATGTGAAGGCCAAGAAGGCATATATCCGGTCAATAATAAATTATGTATCTGATCCAGTGTGATAYCCCATAGGTTACTCTAAGCTCCGACGCAGTCACAATAAAAGCAGATGTTCTTGAATAAAACATTACAATTCATTTATGCTAACCTGGTACAAATCAGACGGCTCTTCGTGTGAAGGTGGAAGCGGTGGAAGTCCTGGAAGGCCTCGAGTTTGCGAGCAGCTAAACATGGGATTATGACAATTCTGCAATACAGGTACAATAATAAGCCAAATTATTAGATATTCACAACTTGTGGGCACTAAACATTTGCTGTGCTACTCTAAAACGTACCTTAACTCTTTCCATTTTGAATAAGAAAGTAATTCTCGGCAAAAGTATAAAACTTTCTGAGCTGAAGTCGGGTCAACTCAGATGTCCCGGCGAAGAATAAACTCGTCACTTCAAATGTTTCAGGCGACCTGTTGCATGGCCATTTCCAATGGRTTTTCWGTGACGAATTTAGGCTTTTAACTTGCCATAAAGATTAATCAAACTAAAAACTCATCAAAGGATCATGTAAATATTTAAAGTATAAAACCGTCATCATGTAATCATTGCAGACATTTTTTGATTTGTAAAACATCCGGGACCTTGTTGCTATGTTTATCCATTGTTCGCGTACGGTTGCTACGGAGTTCGGACGGCTCAGCGCGCGCGCKGCCGGCGTGTGAWGTTACTTTTTTGTTTTTACCAGAAAAATCTACAGRAAGTAATTGCCAGTTCTTCCTTTCTTTTCTTTAGACGAAAAACCTGTTTTTTAAGCATATCTTTTTGATRGTTGCTATTTTGATCGTTTTAAATGATTTGTAAAATTCTCAAGGTGCATGATGGGATTTTTTTATAAAAATTTACATTGTTTTTCTTGCTATATTTTTTTTATTCCATTTAATCAAGGCTATGCTTCTTTCGTGGAAATAACCGCATAAGTCACTGATAATCTACAGCAACTAGGAATTAATTCATAAATAAAAGATAATTTTCATTACAAAAGCTAAATCAACACTTTTGTGATCAAAACAAGATTGTACTTAGATTTACGCTGTAACCGCAAAGAATTGTTAAACATCATGTCGAAAAGAATTCGCAATAAATAAACATAAATATTTCTGTTTATAAGCTTTAAAAGATGTCTGTTTGTGAGAAGTCAGATGATGAGCGCCTGTGAAAACAACAACAACAACAACAACAAAAATCTTACACATACAGATATTTGCTTGATAAATTTTGTATTTATCTCAAAAATCCAGAAGTTGAAGCAATACTTTTTTCATGACCACTCGAAGTAAAAAAGCGCGCCAAAATAGCGTTCGTCTGATTGACATATGRCGCAAAAATTTTGATCCCGAAGGGCTTATAAATAGTGATGTCAGTAAAACCAAGTGAATATTATCAGTGCAAATATAAATGTCATAGGAGTTAATCACCGTACCAACAAAAAAATCATGCARATCACGCCGCCAATTCCCTCGGGTACCGTTACTATGTAGACCCCAAGGGCAACAAAGAAAAGAACTCCATGTTATGCTAATTGATCTATATTAGTGCTCGAGTTTTCAAGTGTTTGCGAACGGTCGAAAAACAGAAAGCCAGCTCATTGAGTTCTCGCACTTGCGATTGGAAAACAGGAGAAACACTTGAAAAATTTGGCTTACAAAGAAGTTGTGACAATTGGTATTAAYATTCAACGGCTGGAAAAAGTCTGTGTCGACGCCGTAGAGGATGAAAATGCGAGACTACCGTCATAACAACAAAGGCTGCTGCAAGTTTCCAACAGTGATTTATTATTGCTCATAATTTTGGTCAAATTATCCTAATTCAAGTTAAAAGTTACTTGTGGATAATGGCAGATTCGGCAACAACACTAATGCGTTCTATAGGTCAGTTAAATTAATATATTTGTAACTTGTGTTTCTACTCAAAGTGGGCCAACAAACTTGGGAAAGATGCTTTTGAACTTTGCCTTACTTTTTYGSTGAAATCTTACAACTTACATATTCAAAAATCCACACTATTGACATAKTTTTTCTCAAAAAATATGTTTTGATAAAGCTTTTTCGCTTTCCAGTCTAAATATTTATCTTAACATCCACTTGGCTAATTGTAAAAGTTTACAATCAATAGAAGAYATTTCAAAAAAACTAAAAATGTAAAAGGAAACTTTCTTATTGTTTGGGCATCTAGCCCATCATTACAAACATCTATTATTAGGTATAACCTCAAAATTACCCCCCCAAAAAAACTGATGAATTTTAAAATTAAATTGCCCTAGTTTCTATTCTTTCTGAAAATAATCTTTTTCGCACCAGTCTGAGAAGCGCCCCAATGACGGGAAAACAGTTTGCGGTAATTAGTTTTTYAGTCTTCGTTAGAAAAATGTAATGATAAATTCACTATATAAATTACATAGAAGGAAATATTCTTTGGCGAGACACGTTATTTCTATGGTTTCGCGTTGCATCATTATTCATATCACTCAAAAAACAGCTTTTGGAAGAAGGAAATACAATACTTTACTCTCAGACAACTAATTAAGGAAAAGAGAAAAAGAAGAAGAGGAAAAAAACAACAACAATAACAAAACTGTYGATTTGCCAKTRCAGAAACATACCTTTTTGGGGCTCCACTTATTCAATAGAAACAGTTTCAGTGAAAWTCGATAAATTATGTTCAATCAGTTTTGTCGGCTTTTAGTGATTTCCCAGACACCTTTATTTTTGCAATTTTAATGAAGTCTTTTGGACTTTAAAAAAAGACAAAAATAATATCTGATCATTATACATTATACATATGTTATCTGATATTATTTTTCGTATTCTATGACACTGTTAATGACTTTTTTATTAAATTATTTATGCTATCGTCTRTAATTTTCACCAGAAGGTAAATATTTCATTCGCTATATTGAATTCGGTGGCTCTATGTCACTTTTTCGTGACAAAAAAAGTCAAAATTAAAATTTACACGTTTTTTAATGGTTCACTCACGACAGCGGAGTTCGCGCGTTGCTCGTTGCTAAGAAACGAGGCATACTTCGAAGACACATGAACCAAAATAACTGAAACAATACAACATGCCGATAAATAACTTCAGTAATTATTACTTTCTAACTCATGTTTTTTCTCTACTGATTTGTAGACTACTTTACCAAGACTAGGATGCGCCAGCCTAACAAGAATTCTAAAGTTTATGAGCTCAGCATAAGCAGAGCTCCTGAGCTACGATGTGTGAACAGCTCCGTGAAGTCATGTATGGCTTGCGAAGCTTGCAGACTTGTTGTCATCCTAAATCAAGCCAAACAGTGGTTTGTACGGTGTGGTGATCCTGCCAAAAGGCGATTTATTATAGGACTTATTCGTCGCATTGATTCAATGGACTTGTTTTCGTATATGAGCTTTCTACTTCAACCTTTACAAAACAAAGATTTCACATACACGAGGTCACGAAGTCGTCCTAGCCTTCAGTCAGATASTTCTTCGCCTCCAACGAATCATGCTTTAGATGAAGAACTTCTYGATAAGGCTATCGAAGATACATGGCAGTGSTTTTCAGAAAGCACTTATTGGACTAAATTGAATTTCTTGTTGGGYATAATGCAGCATTGTGATTCKCAATTGTTGTTTATAATGTCGTACACAATCAAGACAATGGCACAACGAGAAAGAAGAAAATTAAAAGCCGTTGACGAAGGAATACTGGAAGAAGGTGAGACATGTCGTTGTATGAGTCTTCCTGTTTGTGTTAGGCTTATAAAATATCTATTGTTTAAGTTGACTTTAAATTAAGTTCAAATTTGATATAAAAGTTACTAATAATTTTATTGTTAATTTCCGGCATAAAAATGCATTATAAAAAATATATATTAAGTTTAAATATATTAAAAATAAAATATATACTATAAATCCCCTTGATAAATAGATCCCTGTTTTCAGTTTTTACTATAAAATTTTGACTTTCTGACTTAGTTCTGCTAGATAATAAACTCTGAATGACAGGCCGTTAACTCAATAAGGATTAGCAAGAGAAACACTTGTTGAGCTAATTGTGTTCTTAGCTTATATTGATCATGTCAGCATGCTGGACTCAAGGTCATTCTGATTTGTCAGTGGGGAGGAGAGGGGGAAAGAGTACCTTGAAAAGTATTTTATCAGATCTTGTCAGGGGGGGAGGGGGGGGCATTGACGCTTTAGTCATTTCTTGCAGAAACCAGAGGCTCAAGCGACTACTTATACATGTAGCTTTGAATGCTTCCAGGATCAAGAATGACTTAGTTATACAAGGAGTTCAGCTGTTTTTTAGGTATCTTTTTATATTATAGGATATCTAAAACTTTTTTCTTGTTTCCTCAGATGAAAATGAATACATGTCCTTATGCAGCGAAATGACAAAAAGTGACATATCAGAAATAGACAACAATTCCGAAATGGAACATACATCACATACCCCATCAATTACAAGCTCAGCAAWATCACAATCTCCTGGTACCATTAAAAAACATTCGGCAGATGACACCTCGAAAACTGACTCAATACRGGACCCATCTCAAACTTGGTCTGCATTCAGGGGATCCCCTGCAAGYGCCACGCAATCTGTTCCATGTATAACTCCGTCTACCATCTGCAGTAAAAAGTCAAGGGCAGTTCATTCTGCTCCACCACAGCAAAGAATCCAGTCCTCCAGGAGCTCGGCAATAACCTTTGACAAGGATATGTTCAGTGATGATTATATCTCGGGAGAAGATGACGAGGATATTGATGACAATTTGACARTTGACCCTTCGGCTTGCGTTGTTGCCTCACCTTCTTTGTTRTACAGCGGAATTGCAAAGTATAAGGACTTTATTCGWTGTTTACCTGTGCATCTATCAAAATATATCCTTAAATTACTGGATGTCAATAGTCTTACAAACTGTTTATGTATTACAAGACACTGGAGGATACTTGCCGAGGAAGTCAAGGCTGATTATATGGTTCATCAGTTGATGGCGGAAGAGATTATGTTGATGCAGGTAAGTGTAAGCTGAGATATACATGTACTATTTACTTCATGCGGGAAAATGGTTTTGCTGTAGCTGCAAAGACTGAGATGTGAATGTGCTCCACTAAATATAGTGATCAGTGATCATACAGTGTCGGCTCAGTTTTCAACCGCCARGCGTTTATGTTGCCAACACTAGAGTACCACTTCAGAACGTGACTGTTGTTTTGAGGAAGGTTCTTGCAAGCAGTTCAAGTGGATATCAGGTGCCAGTCACACAAAGGGTGAACAGTGCTTTTCATCGCATAAATCTTTATCAAATGGATAAAATCATTTSAAATAAATGGAAGTGAATAACTTTATCCACACTTTTTAYAACTGACCAGCTTTTCARTATTTATTGGAGCAAAACTCCAAAGAAAGCAGCTGTTTGAGTTTTTGGTGAAGTTTGAAGTTCCACCATTTATTCTATCCACAGGGTGCATCTGCGCAAGGTATGAACCCACGTTATGCCAAACTAATGCCAATACATGTCCCTCGACTGGAGGATAAAACTGATGAAAGAAGCTTCGCAATAAAAGTCAAACACACCAAGGGCAGGGACCTTAGGGAGTGTTATGA